AAATGTGTATAGTATTGTATGTGGGTCTAGTATCATGCTCATTACACTGAAGTACATGAACAATGGTCATACTCAGACATGCTGGCTTTCTGCCCCATGGGCAACAATCAGGAAACACACTTCAAAACAGCCTGTCTGTCTCTCAGTCTCCTGTCATTTAGTCCCCTCACCTGTCTGTCACCGAGTCTCCTGTCACTGAGTCCCCTCACCTGTCTGTCTCTCAGTCTACATGTCCTCACCTGCTCCTGGGACTCCTCCATCAGGGAGTTCTGGTCTCCACAGGAGTAAAGCTGAGCCAGCAGGTCTGAGTGGATAAATTCCTTTGTCTGAGGAGCACAGGAGGAGGTCACATGACTGCTTATGTCAGTTCAGGTGTTTATCTGTATGTGTGTGTGCATGTGTGTCATACGTTGTTGACCATCAGGTGCATGATGGTCTTGGGGATCAAGTCTCTGACAGTGCGATGGATGATGTACAGGTATGAGTCCACCAGGTTCCTGACGATCTCCACCTGTCGCTCCAGCTGAGGGTCCAGACTGTGGATCTGCCCATCGCCACTTGAATCCTCTGCCTCCACCTGAAATAACATGGCCGACTATAAACTACACAGTGCAGCGACTGTCGCTATGGAGTACAACACCGCCCTCATGACAGCAGTTAGCCAATCACAGCTCCCAGCTCCCTGACTGTGGGTTGTATAAGTTGACAAGTCACAGGTTTAGAACCTAATTTATTTTTTCCAGACATGACTCTGACAGCTTCTCGTATAAGACTCAAGGCATTTACAACACACACTAACCAGACACACATCTGTACAGGTGTTCCACTCTAGTGTACAGAATAATAAAATGACTGTAGAGACCATTTAGTGACACAAGGGAACGGAAACTGTCTCACCTTCTCTTTGTCCTGCAGGAGGGGGCATAGAACAGAACACATTAACATGGTGCAGGAATAAAGACTGCAGTAATGATAAAGCATCAGTGTAAACATGAGATATTGTAACACAAGTGAGCTTTAAAGTAGTAATAATGCAGTAAAATGTAGTAATGAAGCAGTGGTAATGAGCTGTACCACGCTGCGTTCAGGGTACACTCCTGCCCGTAGGAAAGAAGCCTTCCAGCTGTCCACCTCCTCCTGAGACTCACTGGCCAGCTCCAGCTGACGGTAGTCCTTATACACATTCCTGTGACATGCACACGTTGGTTTTATGACATGTTCAAAGTGAGGAAACTGTTTTTATGACATTTATGTTGTAGCTATGACAGCATCATGTGCATAAGTGTGAAAACAGCTGACATTTGCAGAGAAACAAAAGGACCAAGTACAGACCTTGTGGAACTCCAGTTCTACTTTGAATCTGTCAGTTATCAGCAGCTGATTTCAAACCACAAATGTTTGACCACAAGGCCCCCACACAGACTCCCACTCTGTTGTTAATGTCACACAGTGATGAGTTCACCTTTAACACACTTACCTGTGTTCTGTGTTGAACAGGGCGAAGACGTGTTTGCTTGACATGAAGCTCTTCTCGATGTCTTTCAGTTTCAGGTTGTCCACAGGCAGCATGTACTTCTTCTCCTTCTCCTACAGGGGGCACAACAACAGTATTTTAATGGGAACTCCCCCCTAAGGCCTGACCGTAATATAGTCCTGATCCCCTGATTTACAGTGATAAACACTGATGTTGTCCAAGGTGCGGCTGATTATGGGAACACGGGTTAGGCTGACTGGTGACTTGTAGGTATGAGTGTGTTGGTTTCTGTGCATTAGCCCTTGATTTAAGCTTGATTTATGGTTCTGCTTTTAATCTACACCATAGGTAATGTCAATACTGAATCTATCAAATAATAATCTATATTTATGGTCCCAGTTAAGAACCTGGTTCTCTCTAACTCTGATTAGCCACATAAAAATAACCCACAGCCATATAAATGCAGGTGCAGAGCTGCACGTCACATGGGCCAAAGACTGAACCCCCCCCATAATGCAACTCCGTGTGTTACCTCATCATCTTTGTACCAGGACAGGGTCTCCGCAGTCAGGACGAACCAGTACTCTTTAGCGCCCCCCTTCATGATGCCAATGTTGTTGATAGTGAGCCAACCTTTACGGATCACCTGCACACACCAGGTGAGTCGTGATGTCATCAACAGAAGACCAATCACGTGACCAGTACAACGCCAAACACATTGCAATGATCACCTATCAATCAGTTAAGGTACAGGTACACAACCAAGTATGTGGCCTCAGGTAAATAAAATAAAAAATAAAACATCTAGTTCAATAAATATTAACAGAGAAGTTAAAAACTGCAAAGTGCATTTCTATAACTGAAGGAAATCACCTGATGCTTACAGCTGAGTAACATTAGTGCCAGAGACAACGTGACAGTTTCACACCAAACTCTTATTATATTTGTAGAGCTGCTGTGATTACCCATCAGTTATCTGCAGCTATTCTGATAACTGATTGATTATCTAAACTTGGCCTGGCTCCAGTTTCCTCTCCGATGTGACTTCTGTGGCTCTACTCGGTCTCTTGCAATAGTGAACTCAAACTATGCTGGTCGGACCGAACAGGACACACAAAGAAGTCACACGCTGGACTAGAGGCCAAATAATTTGATGATTTAAAAAAAAATCAGCAGATAAATCAATCAGCAATCAAAAACTAAAGTGACGTTTTTTTCTGGCGATCTAACATTGACTTAAGATAAATTTGTGACATCACTTCCTGTCAAGCAAAACTGCAATCAAAATAATTTTCTCCACAACAAAAAGAAACTTGGGATTATAAAATATAAACTGAAATCAGAGCTATTGTTTTTCAAACAAAACCTTTAACACTTTTTTCTTTGTTTGCAGTTTGTCCATTTCGGTTGCACCTCCAAAAGCTTTTGTTTGCAGAGCCTTTGGCTGTGAATCAAAAACCTTTGCAGGTCAAAATCTTCTGGTTGCATGCCTGTGTCCAGTGCAGAGGGAGGGCTGAGGCATAACACTGCGCCTCTATTGACCAGTGATGCTGGTCCTCAGCCCTGTACCGTTATTAAATCATTCGCGTTCCAGGGACTGACTTTTAATGAAGCTCATGGAGGAAAGTGTCTCAGGTGAGCTCATATCCAACATGTTATGTTTAGTTACAAAACCAATTTGTTTGTGTTTTAGTACAAATTCAGGCACCTAATGTGTTTATTACCAGTCTAGGATGATCAGTTAATATCTGCGGCTGTGCCACACAGCTCAGTCATAGTGTTAGCAGCTCCTAGCAGTTAGCAACAGTAGTCAACACAGGGCTTGGTTGTACAGCACTTCCGACCAGTTCCCCCTGAACCTGATGCTCACCTGAAACCTAAAGCCTTGTTTCTACCCTCAAATAGTCCTTTTAAGGACGACATGTCCTCAGAAACACACTGGTGACCACTCACCATGATCTCATCCTGGTTGTTGCAGCAACAGATGTGAGCGAGAAGAAAAGAGAGAAACATGAATGAGGGGCCTTCTTCTGTCCCTACAGCCCCGCCTCCCTCCTCCAGGTCACCTGTCGTGACTCACCTGGTTTCCTGCTGCTTTCTTCTTGCTCATCTGGCTGCTCTTCTGCTGAGCACTGACACACAGACACATCAGTTAACACTTATTCGGCCGACTACGTGTCAGGGTTACAGGTGAGTTACCTCTTAAAATGTGATATGTTGTGGACACACTGGTCCAGATGTGACCCACTCCACACAGCTGGACTCAGTTCTCTGCTGTTTGAATTGTCCTTTTATTGTGGAAAGTGGTTTTATTCTGCCTTTATCAATCACTCTGATTGTGAGGGAGTGTATTTCCTGTATTTTGTTGATTTGCAGAGATGGGACTAACACCTTGCATTTACTCTGTTACATGCACTTTAGTAACTGAGTATACTGTACTTGGTGGAGTAATTTTACATAGTTTATTCATTATTTAATGCATCCATGCACATGAGTAGCTTGGTCTGCTGGTGCTGACTTATCCTACCACAGCCATGATGATTCAGGCTGGTTTCTCTGTACATGCTTCTGTACGCAAACTTGAGTTAGCTTAATAACCCTACTCAAGTATTTGCTTTTATAAAGTACCAGTACTTTTACTTCTGTTAATGAAGATGACAAGTTCGTAAATGTTATTTTCATGGATGAAAAGGTTGCTTGTCTTACTTCGCAAAGCCGATGAAGTCTTCATGGTTTGTGTTCATGTAGGCCAACTCAATGTCAATCAGCAACACCACCTGAGGAGACAGACATGCAGGTAGAGACAGCTGATTTTTACACCTACTGAAAATGTGACTAAACAAGCCTGACAGAAGCAGCTCTGTGAAGGTATCTGGACCTAACATGGTGATGTTTAAGCAGCTGTTTACCATAGTTTAGCATGTTAGCATGCTAACATTAGCTAATTGGCAGTAAACACCACTGAGGCCGATGTGAATGTCATTCTGTGAGTATTTGGTCATAAACCAAAGTTCTGGACACATTCAAATCTTGGCCTGATGATGGTGCTAGATCAGCAGTTATGACACCTAAATCACACTTCACCATAACCATCCCACACAGTGGTGAACGGGTGGTGTGCCTAATGTGACTAAAGCTGTAGTGAACACAGATTTTCACTGGATGTAAAGGATGAATGTGACTGGCTGAGTTAAACATGTGACAGTCAGACCTGGTCTTTGGTGCGACTCTCTCGGTCTCTGATGTGCTGAGTCACAATTCTCTCCATCTCCTCTCTGAGCATCGGGTACTGGGCCAACTGCAGAGAGCAAGAGCCAACACGCCGAGGTCAAAGGCCAGAGACAACCACACAGTCAGTGCACAGGAAAACCAAAACTGCCAGCTGAAGGAGGCTAACAAGCTGCATAGGGCTGATGTTAATCACAGTAGCAGTAGTACCTTCTGCGTGCACTGCCTGACGGTGTTGACCAGCTCGCTGATCACCATGTCGACACATTTCTGACACGGCTCTTTGATCTGTGCAATCTGGCGCTTCACAATCGTCTCAAACGCCATGTCAGGGGTGAACAGACCCGTCCTGAAGAGAGAGCAGGTGAGTCAGGTGACACTCAGGTAACACATACCTGAACACAGCAGGACTTTAAACTCACCTGATTCCATGGATGTTCTTGATGGCGTAGCTGATCTCTTTACGCAGAGTCTTTTCGTCACTCTCCAGCTGCACAAACATACGACAACGCTTACCGTCAGCAGGTCAACAACACCTTTAGCACCTGGCTCTGTAGTCCTGCCACTGTGAACCTGTCTGTGTGAGCAGGATGGTGGTGTCATAGCCCACACATCAGCAGATCTGCTCTGTGTGTGTTACCTTGACCAGTTCGAAGGGGAAGCGCTCATGGAAAATGCGATTGATCTTTGCTCCTCCTGACAGCTCGTAGGTGTCGACCTGGTCTCCAGATCCTTCGATCCGCTTCTCAAAGTCCACGGCAAACTGTTGCACCATCCTGACAACACACATTCAACCGGTCACTCAGGAAGGGGGGGGGGCGGGCCCCCCCTGCCAATCTGGCAAAGCTGACTTGTTCCATGTCACGTGAAGTCATGCTAATCATATCCTAACGTGTTTCTTCATCATCCAAGAATTTTTAAGTGTATATTTCTGCGTATCACTGAGTATCACTGAGAATTAGCATGTACTGACTGCAGCAGGGCCTTGGTTTTGCGGCTCGGGTCGTCCGGTCTGAAGTTCTTGTACTCCTCCACCTCCTTCTCAATGGACAACAGCTGGCTCTGCAGTTTGCTGCGTAACCCTGGCAACGTGTCCCGGATGTGGTTGGTCAGTTGCTAGAGGCAACAGAGAAATGCTCCGTTACTACAGTTACAGAGGGAGCAGAGAGCAGAGCATGCTCTGTCCTGAAATCTTTTCACTAAAAGCCAAATTTACTTCAACGTCTTAACCCTGAGTGGAGTTTAGCTCTGACCCAGACAACAGACAAGTGTGGCCACATCTGGGTAAGGAGGTGGTCTTTGAGTCTCAGCTGGTTGTATGTGGGTTATATATGTCCCCACCAGGCGGTTTACCTGGTTGAGGATCTTCTGCAGGTAGGCAGTGCCCATGCGGTCGGCCAGGTGTCGGTATGCCGGGTGCGACAGAAAGAACTTCCTCTCGGCCTGAAGTGCTGCAGTGATGTCCTTCTTCCCATCGATGTCCTTCTGACTGCGATTCACCACCCCGATGTAACCTGCCACGGACCAGTCTCTGTTACCACCTGGAGCCAGGTGTGCTTAAATCCTGCTCCTCTACTCAGGTTAATCCACATTTAGGTAACAGCTCAAGGTCAGCTTGTCAATGAAACATATGAGGAAAAACATCTGTTGCCAAGACAATATTGAGATTAGACTAAATAGAAAGAAGCCCAAAACCCAAACCAACAAAAACTAGGACACAACATGTGTCAGTGATAAAATGACAGATGAATGAATGGACAACTGAAATATACTTCAGTCTTACTATGCCACCTGTATACAAACAGCACATAACAATTACCATAGTTATAAGAGGATCACTTTAGAAGTAGATTCTTGCATTTCAGTGCCATTATGTCTCTTTGGTTTTGTTTTACATGTACTGTACATGTAAAGCAAAAGATGGCTGACAGCCAATCAGACAGCAGGATTCTCTGTGATGTAGCATCTCTACCTCTGCGCAGAGGCAGCAGTTTGTTCTCCAGGATGTCTCTGGCATCGGTTCCTTCATCCATCAGATCCAGTTTGGTGATCACACCGATGGTTCTCAGACCTGAACACAAAAAAGCTTCACTTAAGCCACCTCAGGGATGAGATCCTGCCCCCCACCCCCACTGAAAGACACAAGACACCTCTGGTGTCTCTTTATGGCGTCTCTTCAGTGATATACTGCAGGTGCCAGGTCGGCACCTGGCAGTATGAAGGAGGCGTAGGGGATGAAGGAGGTGTAGGGGATGAAGGAGATATAGTGGATGAAGGAGGTGTAGTGGACGAAGGAAGCGTAAGGAAAAAGGAGGCGTAGGGGATGAAGGAGGTGTAGTGGATGAAGGAGAGCAAGGAAAAAGGAGGTGTAGTGGATGAAGGAGGGGTAATGAAAAAGGAGGTGTAGGGGATGAAGGAGGCATAATGAAAAAGGAGATGTAGAGGTTGAAGGAGGTGTAGTGGATGATGGAGGGGTAATGAAAAAGGAGATGAAGGGGATAAAGGAGGTATAGTGGATGAAGGAAGCGTAAGAAAAAAGGAGGCGTAGGGGATGAAGGAGATGTAGGGGAAAAAGGAGATGTAGGAGAAAAAAGAGATGTAGGGGATAAAGGAGGTGTATGTAGGGGATGAAGGAGGTTTAGTGGAAGAATGAAGCGTAAGGAAAAAGGAGGCGTAGGGGATGAAGGAGATGTAATGAATGAAGGAGTTGTAAGGAAAAAGTAAAAGGAGATGAAGGGGATAAAGGAGGTATAGTGGATGAAGGAAGCGTAAGAAAAAAGGAGGCGTAGGGGATGAAGGAGATGTAGGGGAAAAAGGAGATGTAGGAGAAAAAAGAGATGTAGGGGATAAAGGAGGTGTAGGGGATGAAGGAGGCGTAGGGGATGAAGGAGGTGTAGTGGATGAAGGAAGCGTAAGGAAAAAGGAGGGGTAGGAGATGAAGGAGGTGTAGTGGATGAAGGAAGCGTAAGGAAAAAGGAGGGGTAGGAGATGAAGGAGGTGTAGTGGATGAAGGAAGCGTAAGGAAAAAGGAGGGGTAGGAGATGAAGGAGGTGTAGTGGATGAAGGAAGCGTAAGGAAAAAGGAGGGGTAGGAGATGAAGGAGGTGTAGTGGATGAAGGAAGCGTAAGGAAAAAGGAGGGGTAGGAGATGAAGGAGGTGTAGTGGATGAAGGAAGCGTAAGGAAAAAGGAGGGGTAGGAGATGAAGGAGGTGTAGTGGATGAAGGAAGCGTAAGGAAAAAGGAGGGGTAGGAGATGAAGGAGGTGTAGTGGATGAAGGAAGCGTAAGGAAAAAGGAGGGGTAGGAGATGAAGGAGGTGTAGTGGATGAAGGAAGCGTAAGGAAAAAGGAGGGGTAGGAGATGAAGGAGGTGTAGTGGATGAAGGAAGCGTAAGGAAAAAGGAGGGGTAGGAGATGAAGGAGGTGTAGTGGATGAAGGAAGCGTAAGGAAAAAGGAGATGTAGGAGAAAAAAGAGATGTAGGGGATAAAGGAGGTGCAAGGAAAAAGGAGGCATAGTGGATGAAGGAGGGGTAAGGAAAAGGAGATGTAGGGGGTGAAGGAGGCGTAAGGAAAAAGGTGATGTAGGGGATAAAGGAGGTGTAGTGGATGATGGAGGGGTAAGGAAAAAGGAGATGAAGGGGATAAAGGAGGTGTAGGGGATGAAGGAGGCGTAGGGGATGAAGGAAGCGTAGTGGATGAAGGAGGTGCAGGGGATGAAGGAGGCGTAGGTGATGAAGGAGGCATAGGGAAAAAGGAGGTGTAGTGAAAAAGGAGGCATAGGGGATGAAGGAGGCATAGAGAAAAGGGAGGCATAGAGAAAAAGGAGGTGTAGGGGATGAAGGAGATGTAGGGGATGTAGGAGGTGTAGTGGATGAAGGAGGCGTAAGGAAAAAGGAGATGTATGGGATAAAGAAGGTGTACGGAAAAAGGAGGCGTAGGGGATGAAGGAGGTGTAGTGGATGAAGGAAGAGTAGAGGAAGAAGGAGGTGTAAGGAAAAAGGAGATGTAGGGGATAAAGGAGGTGTAGTGCATGAAGGAGGCGAAAGGAAAAGAAGATGTAGGGGATAAAGGAGGTGTAGTGGATGAAGGAGGGGTAAGGAAAAAGGAGATGTAGGGGATGAAGGAGGCGTAAAGAAAAAGGAGGTGTAGGGGATGAGGGAGGCGTAGGGGATGAAGGAGGCGTAGAGAAAAAGGAGATGTAGGGGATGAGGGAGGCGTAGGGGATGAAGGAGATACAGGGGATGAAGGAGATATAGGGGATGAAGGAGGGGTAGGGGATGCAGCAGAAGGTGTAGGTGAAGCTCTGGCGGACTTGGACCTTGAGGGTCGACCTCTTTGGCGATCTTCAGAGCGTCGGAGTTGGCAAGGTCAGAGTTGGCGGGAGACACAGCCAATAGGAGGCAGTTGTCCTTGGTGACAAACTGCATTAGCATATCCTTGATCTGGTGCTCGATATCAGGAGGCTGATCCCCAACCGGGACCTTGGTCATCCCAGGAAGATCCACCAGCGTCAGGTTCAGCACTGACCACACACATACACACCATTTAGGACCTAGTTCATGTATCGATCCACTGATTTACTCAGGTCCTCTCTGAATATGGGCTGTTTCACAGTTGTAATATGTATAATTAAATATGCATTTCGTGTGTACTAGTTACCGTTGGGGGAGCAGACCCTCAGGTTGATGGGGACAGGACTGATTCCTTTGTTGTGTCCAGTGACGCGATCAGTTTCTGCTTCGATCTCCTGCCGAACTTCATCAAAGTCTGTGAACTTCTTCCCCTTACAGTGCAGGAACTCGGCATACTCTGATCAGAACGTGTCATCAGATAATATCATCAGATCAATGTCAAACATTTGCAGTAATAAATCGGATCACAGTGTCTCACCTGTTGGGCAGTTGATGAGCTGCAGCACCAGGGGGCGCCGAGTGACAATACCTGAACCACGAGGGAGGAAGTCTCTGAGGGAGGAGGAAGAGGAGGAAGATGTGTTTAATGGACAATGTGTAAAACCTGAGAACTCAAACATTAAACGAATGAAACATTTGTTAAAGATCCGAGGAGGAGATGACAGAAAGCACCAAAACTTCAGGTTGTGTCCACATCAGGCCTTAACTCTCAGCTCTGGTCTTGTTGTGTCGCTGCTTCCCATCCGTGTGTGTCAGGGCCATGTACCTGGCTCCGGTGTGAACACCGTTCAGCTCCTAAACTGCCACATGCATAGGTGTAACTGAAATGTCAGCCACGTGCACGCAAGGATAACAACCAGGTTGTGTGCGACAGTCAAACGGCCGAGTTTCCACCCAAACCACTGGGTTACGATATGTTTGGCCTGATCAGAAGCTTCTCCATAAACGTCCACCTCATGTGAAACTTCTTGGTCTCTGTTGTCGCTCTCCTCCATGTTTACTGTTACCGGTCTGTAAGGGGCTGAATGATGATGACAGGCCGTATGTGCAGAGGAGGCATTAAACTTCAGCTGTGATGTGAGTCCGCTCTGAAGCAACAGAAACTTTCATAAAACCAGGAAGAAGTGAAATGAATAAACACAAGTTTATTATACAGCTATAAGAACTATGGTTCAGTGTTTAGACCAGTCATCTCCCAACCGGAGGGTTGGACGTTCGAATCTTTGTGCCTGCACATGTTGAAGTGTCCTTGGGCAAAACACTGAACCCCCAAGTTGCCCCCAATGGTTAGAGCCATCGGCTGAGTTTGCGCTGCAGATGGCTGCCATCGGTTCTGTACTGGAAACAAATTCCTTTTGTGTGACATACTTGGCCAATAAAGGTGGTTATTATTATTATATTCTCCTTCTTTCGGCTGTTCCCGTTAGGGGTCGCCACAGTTCTTATGTGTCTGTTCTTATGGTGTTATGTTGGTTGTTCTCTATTGCTGCTGTAACACAGAAATTTCCCCACTGTGGGATCAATAAAGTGCCTACTCTACTGCGCACTCTGCACTGCTGTTATTGCACTGCCGGTTAGAAGCTAAACTGCATTTCGTTGAGTTGTACTTGTACGTGGGTAATGACAGTAGAGTTGAATCTAATCTAATCTAAATAAGCAAAAAACAAATAAACAAAACTGTGTTATACATGATCACATTGCATCTTAATCTACATTGTACTACTGAACTGTTTAAAGGGCTCATGGCATGATTTTCTTTGTTTCCTGACTTATCTACAAAGTTACAACAGCGAATTGTTAATGCCTTGTTTCTGTAACGTTAGAAAGAATTTACTGGATAAGTTACTATGTCTGCATTATGCCAGTTAAAATATGGGGTTTCTCAGTTACCTGCTATGTTTAGAGTGTTACACATCTCTTTGGTACATATACCATTGTTTACCTATCTATGGAGGAGACATTCACATTAATTAATGCTGTTGTGGTTTGTTGTGCTGTGCACTTGAGTCAACACCGGCAACAGAATTTGTACACATTCACAAACTGTCCACTTGTTTTAAGAAAGAGGCTTCTTGGCTCTCTGATTCTGAAACAATTACAAACTATTTGAAGTTATGATGCGTGCCAGGTTAATCTAGAGGTACCCAAGATTAAACATTAAATGGCTGGAAATGAGCAAAATGAGCAGCCACGGGGGATTTCAGGGTTATATAAGTGTATAATACAGGACTATAAGGAGCTGGATGTGTGACGTGGATCCTTCAGTGATGCAGCTTGAGGAGTACCCTTGTCACAACATCCTTACGCTGTGCGTTGGTGTGTGTGTGCTGACTGCAGGGATTCACACAATGCAGCTCTCCACCCACACACACACACACATATCACATTGTTATTGTCATGCAATACAAGCCCTGCTGAGTCACATGACCAACATCAACCAATGAGAGCACAGATACAGAGAGAGAGAGAGAGAGAGAGAGAGAGAGAGAGAGACCATCCTCATCCTCGGGTGACAAGGAAGGTAAATGTATTCAGCCAATTATGTGACACCTTCCATCAGGACTGAAACTACAAACCTCAGAGTAAAATCACATCCTGTTCTCATCGACCAGACTTCTGGGAGCCACCAGGGGCCTCAAATGCTCCACATGTACTGGGTCTGAACTGTGTCCAGGTAAGATAATCATAATTTGTCTGGGAGCATGAAGCACTAAAGTCAGTGACATGACACCACAGTCGATACAGAACAGAGTGAGACTGATTGAGGACTGTTTCTCCAACGTCCAACACCGGTTTAATTTAACACCAGTTTGATTTTAAAATCAATGTGCTGAACTCAAACCAATTTCTTCATCTGAATTATAATGTTCTTTTAAATTATCATCATCACAAAGTAAACCTACAGATTAAACATTTTCACACTGTGTTTTTGTATAAAATACCAGCACCAGATGCAGGACAAGCTGAAGCTTTAGCTGTGCAACCTGCAGGGGACGCTGACATGTGCCCCCGCAGCACACTTCAGCTGAGATTACAACATTTGCTGCCCCACAATGTACCTGGGCCTGAGCTGTGGAACCTTGCAGGAAACACAAACTGATGACAAAACAGATCGTGTAAGCACAAAGAACAGTCCACTGTAGGCCTCACGTGCCTCATATCATCCATCGATTTTCTACAGCTTATCTGGGTTCAGGTCACGGTGGCGGCAGGTTCAGTATGGTGGTCCAGATGTCCTGGCGACATGTTCCAACATCTGAATTACTACTGATGCCACCCCTACCCGCCTGTCAATCTCCCCCTCAGTTTTACCCTCGCTCGTGAACAAGACCCAGAGATACTTAAAGTCCTTCACTTGGCGCAGCAACTCACTGCCAACCCAGAGGGAGCAGTCCACCGTTTTTTGGCAGAGCACCATGGGAAATTAGGGATCAACCTAACCATCAGGATCCTCCTGACAGAAACATCTTGAGTCTCTACAATGCAGAAGGAATACAATGCAAGGCTTTTTCTTTTTACAGACTTCTGAGGCCTTTTTGGAGAAGCTGGGCTCAGGGATTTTCAGACCTGTTGGTCGGACAGAACCTCAGCACCTGCAGTTTTCATCAACTAAGTGATCAGTGTTTTTTTTACTGATAAACTCATCAATAGATCTACATAAACAGCCGCCACCAACAGCGGAGCAGGCCCTTGGTGCCACAAACCAAATCTCCCTAAACTCCAGTTTCTGTAATGATCATGTAGAAAAAGAACCATCAGGAAGAGTGCAGCTGAACCAAAACCACCTGAACCTAAGCCGGGCGGATCCAGGATGAAACCAGCATCAGGTGACCCTGAACACAGCACCAAACTCTATCAGCGAAGCTGCCAGTAACAATGAAGTCAACCTGTCACTTCACCAGTGTTAAAGACAGAACTCAGAAGCACATTCCCACATCACCTCCGGTCCTGGTTCACTGATTCAGGTACTAGTTGTTTTAACTGGCTGACTTTCACCGCAGCCACAGAAACACAAGCCAACTCAGTTCCTTCATTTCCAAACATCCACACCCCTTTGGACGCAAACACACTAGACCTGACAAGGACTGAAGACCCAACAGAGACCCGGGACCTGAAAGAGCCTCAGGACCAGACCTGCTCCACTAACCCATTGGTAGACTCTGGCTGATCACAGATGAATCTATTCTGATTCTCTGCTTGTTGTAAAGTGTATCTTCTTTTTGCTTCTTGTGCTTGTTGCACTTGAACAATTCTACCTGTGAGGTTTCACTTAATTTCATATTTTTGGCTATAGATGAAAACGACAACGTGCACAGTGAATCCTTCCTGACCTGAACTCTGTGGAGGTCTCAGAGTGAGCAGGTCCTGCCAGCTGCTCTGACTCAGTGTGACCACAGCCAGCATCAGTGCGGCTGCTGTTGTCACTGATTTAGTGCCATATGAATCCCCCTAACCGCTGCAGCGTTTAAGGACTTTTTGTTCAAAAATAAAAAGAAACAGGGCAAAAAAAGTACTTAAAAGTTTTGAAATGTTTTTTCAAGAGGCTGCAGATTTGGCCTGTTTTATTAGACTGTACTTATCAAACCTTCTCTGGATTTCCTTTGATAACAGCTGTATAAATAAACAGACACACACTGAATATGTTCAGTCTTCTAGAATATCATCTTCTTCCATATAAATAATACCAGACTCCAAAGAATCTGCCTTTGTAAAAAGATTCACAGGAAATACAACAATTTACTGCAAAAGCCAACAAGTTATTATAACCACTCACTCCCATATGGGAAGTCCTTCACATTTTATACACGTGGCTATGGTAGTGTGTATTTTTATATTTGTTTTCTAACTTTATGATTTAATTTGTATTTCAATATTTATATGGATATTTTTAGGTTCTTTTGCTACGTTTCTATTTATAGTATTTTTGTGCATATAGGAATGACAATAAACTCATTATTATTATCATTAGTAGTAGCAGTAGTATATTTTACAGTGAGTATATGTGAGTAACATGATGAAGCCTAATAAGGCTCAGCACTATGTTCTGGCTCTTAATTTCCCCAGCGAGCCGCGCTCTGCTCGGCCCGGCTCGGATACAGACGCAGGTGTACATACAGACAGACAGACAGGTGGACGGATCGACTGGTCGACTCACTTGCCCACGAAGTTCTCCAGCACCGAGCTCTTCCCGGCGCCCCACCACCGCGATCTGCGGCAGGTCGAGGTTCGCGTTCTGGCCGATGGAGGAGAAGGCGTCCTGGAGCCGGTTCACCAGCGGGATCAGCTCCTCCATCCCCCGGTTCCCCATGGCGGAGAGGCGGAGAGACAAACAGGTGGATGTTGGTGATGGAGAGGCAGACAGACAATGCAGCAGCGGATCCGCCTGTCGCTCCTGTCTTGGATCACGCGGCTCTCGTGCAGCCGATGAATCCGATCAAAGTATCGATGACAGTGTGATCAGGATCGATGATAAAGAAGATGGTGGAGATGGGGCTCCTCCTGCTGTGACCTTGAGCTCCCTCTCCTCCTCCTCCTCCGCTCTGCTCCTCTGCAGGGAACGGACCAGCCCGCAACACAGGCGCACATCCGGTGCGCACTTTCACAGTAAAAGCCCAACACCACAGGCCTGTTAGAAAACATTAAATCAAAATGCATTTACATTCAGATCTGCAATTATTATGTGGGTCTCGTTAGTTCTGAAGGCAAGTTTAAACAAGAGTGAACAGCATCTTACAGAACCAACTTGTTCTGATGTGGGATTTCTTTCCAAATAAACCCATGAACATGTAGGCCCGTCTATATTTGTTCACGTTTTGGAACACTAAATATGCCGAATTAGTTAACAACAGTTCACTTTTGCTGTGCACTATTGGATATACTGACAACAATCAATGAATTACTGTGTTTGCTCTGATGTTTCTTAATTCCACCCAATACTGCATACTTTATTTTCCCTTCATTAAACAATGACCAACCTACTTCACTGTGCTGTTTAGTTAACCTAAGCACTGACGTTTTAAATTATTGTAAATTTAAATTTTCCAGGAGAAAGGTGCATCCACCTTTGGTGTGAACTACTCAGAGGTTGCAAAACATAATCCAGAGAATCCAGTCACAGCTATACTAAATGTACCAGGGATCTGCTCATGGATGTTGCTACTTGCACTGTCATGTAATTGTTGCTTTTAAGTAATATTTAATCTTGATATTAATTTTAATATTAAATCTGGTTTGATCTAATTTGCATTCTAATGCTTTATCCATCTGTGTGCATTGTGTCAGCACTTCGAATTGCTGCTCCATATGAAAATGTGCTATATAAATAAACTTGGTAAAAACTGATTTTCAGGCAAGTTCTGCAGTGTTCAACCCCTGTATTATCTGGTAATTATCATATAGTAAGCCATAATTTGAAGATATCCTCCAATTTGGTCCATCTTATTCCAGCCTACAGGCAGAAACTTAAAGCTGTGAAGCCTGTGGTCAAAACAGTGAAGACATGGACCAAGCAGCCAGAGCTACCGACCTGCTCTGGCTGCACAGACTGGACTGTATCTGAGGCTGCGTCTACAGACCTGGATGAATTCAGTCACACTGTGACACCTTACATCAGGTTTGTGAGGACGTGTGTGTCCACCAAGACCTTCTGCACATACAACAACAACAAGCCCTGGTTCACAGTAAAACTTTAGCAGCTTTGTTGTGCCAAAGAGGAGACCTACAGAAGTGGGGACAGGACCCTGTACAGCCAGGCCAGGAACACACTGACAAGGGAGATCAAGGTAGGGAAGAGGAGCGACTCTGAAAGGCTGAGAAACCAGGTTTCATCCAGCGAGCCCTCGTCTGAGTGGAGGAGCCTGAAAAACATCACTGCTACAGGAAACCATCTCCCCGCTGTGGAAGACCATCACAGACGACCTGAATATGTTTTACTGTTGGTCTGAGAAGCAGAACTCCCCCCCACCCCTAATAATAATAACGATCAGCAACTACTTTGATAATAAATTGTTTAAATCTTCTGTTATGCAAAATTGTATGAAACAATGCTAACATTTGACAACAAAGTGAATATTTTTGCATTTTGGACAAGTGGTTGGAAAAAAAACAAGCAACTAAAGGTTATAAACATCAGGATTGTTACACTATTTTGTAACTATTCTGTTCATACGGGTTATATCTGGTTCCTGAGCCTGAGACTCTGTGAATATGACCCAGTGCTGACTTTTTGTGTTTTGCCTTGCGACACTGTGGAAACAAACAATGGTTCAGGTGGTTGCTATGGGAACATATCAGGGTACCTGTGTGTGTCTAGGCACCCTCCCCCTATGCCTTGGACTGGACCTCCCACCTCACCTCAGACCCAGCAGCTGCTCCCCCATAATCGCCTCCCTTCCTCCCAGCCCCCCCACCCCTGAAGATCTGTGAAAAGGATGTGCATGGCCTTTTAAAAAAAGAAAGATCAGAAAGCCCAGGTGGTGTGACCCCTTCCTGCCTGAAAGTCTGTGCTGACCAGCTGGGCCCCATCTTCGCACTGCAGGACCCGTCAGTCACAGAAGCTCATTGTAATTAATCAGCCCTGCACTCTGGCCATTTCCCGTTTGTCCTGCACTGGGTTTAGTTTGCCAGCATGCCATGACTGTCGAGACATGATTTGGCTGACATCACCTAGTGTGATCCCAGCATTAGTCCAGAGCTAAACTTCTCCTCTATCCTCCTCAGATGGATCCATCCCCCTCCAGTCTGAACTCCAATGATGTCCTCCTCTGGATCCTGGATATGGAAAGGGAGGAGGAGCAGCTCAGCTGAAGTCCAGGGAGCTGAACATATGGCTGGGATCCTGCAGGTGATCCCCACTCAGATGGAGGAAGGGAAGGAGCAAGGTGAGGGGGACTCTTTGTTTCCTCCATGTTGGCTTTAAAATATCAATTCAAACCAGATGATCTCCATCCAACCCGACTTTGTGTGTACAGGTGCATTCAGTTCTAGTTGTGGTGTGGTTGTTGGGAGGTTGCTGTGTGTTTATTGTGTTGGTGCTGGGGGGTTACTACCAAAATGGTTGGTATGGGTTTACTAAGTAGCTCAAGGTTTTTGGAGTGGCTGTTAGCTGGTTGCTCTGGGTTTACTTAGAGGTCGTTTGGGTGTTCACCACGCATTAACTAGGTAGCTTAGTTTATATGGCATTTACTCACATGGCTGTTCACTAGGTGGTCACTTGATTGCCCTTTATCCTTACTGATGTAAGTAATTTGTAATCCAGTGGAGGTCCTTATTAGTAGGTAATTAAAATGTAACTGTGTTCAGATGGAGGAGATCCCAGGTGAGTCTCCTCTGCTGCAGTCCCTGGGTCCTCCTTATCTCCTCATTTGCTGTGTCCTCTTTCAGGTGTTTGTTTGGATTGGAATCAAGGCTCATGAGGAGAAGACAGAGGCAGCGGCAACAGGTGAGACAGACAATAAGTTAGTCCAACATCATGGGATAACCTGAACCAGAGCTCAGCACTGCCTCCACGTGCTAACAGCTAACTGTGTGCTTTAGGTCTAGCTATCCAGTGTACCACTGAGAGCGACTTGGCCCACAGAGACCCTCGTACTCCCACAGTGATGGTGAAACAGGGACTTGAACCGCCGACATTCACTGGTTGTTTTGGGCTGGAACCACAAATACTGGACCACTTATCACCTGGAGTGCCTTACATGTAATGATGGCGCTCTAATCTCACAGCTTTGTTCTAATAAATCTAACTTGTCTGCCTCCACAACAGTGTCTGTATGCGAAGCCGCACCGACAGGTTTCAGACACCAGGGGGGCGCTTGGGCTCCATAGTTACACTCATCGCCATAGCAACAGTTTGATAGTGTAATAGTTTATTGGAGCATCTCTCTTTATAAATACTGGTGTTGATAAATAACAGTAAGAGGAACAAAAGGTTTCTCATCAATACAGAAGAACAGAGACAGAGGCCACAGTGAACACAGCAGAGAAGACGGTAGAGTCAGTCTGTACGGGACAGCAGACATGTGTTCACAAACTATTCATCACAATTTAGAGTTTTTACTGTTGTACAATATAATCTGGTGTTTACATTAAAATCTGTAGAATTCTCTGAAACAACACAAACTAACTTCTAACTGTCTGGAGGATCCACAGATTAAATTCTCAGTTCTACGGAAGCCCAGAGCAGCCAACACCTCAGGGTCACTAATCAACAGCATGTCATATCTCAGTAGAGTCCCAGTTAGGTTTGCTCTGTGTAGGTGTAGCTAGGCTAACATCTTCACCTGCTTTGTCTTTGTACTAAGCTAGGTTAACCAGGACCTGTATCTGTACACAGAGATAGAAGCGGTGGACTGTTCCTTTAAATCACAGTCTAATGATAAAGAGGCTAAATAGGTGAATATCTGGGCTCCATCAGACACAGCTGTATGATCTCAACAAAAACATCTAAGCAACGGAGCCATATACAGCCAGGGTTGTTCCAATAGGACAGATGAAGCTGTTCCAGGTGGTGTAGAGCAGTAACATGACACCCAGTTTGATTGGTAGAAGTTTCTGGCTCTGAGTAGGTGGTTTCAAAGAAAAACAGGATATGATGTCAAAGTGTGTAGGATGTTTAAAGAGGAAACATGCAAAACAAAAACAGGAACTGAAGGGTACCCTTCGGCTCTGTCCCTGTGGGGAGGTGCCACCTTTCTGTCACTTCTGTGATAACTACTACACTCAGTGGTCAAACTTTAAAAAATGGCGGGGTTTATGAGTTAGCCACACCTCCTCTCACATCGTGCAGATAAGCCTTGTCCTCTCCCTGCAGTCAAAGCCAATCAAAGCTCAGCAGCATATTATTAGCAGTTGCCAGAGTTGCGAAACTCCCCGTTCTCGGTGATCTGCAGAGACGATGTGTTGCTAGGAGACAGGCCATTCCTCTGTGATGTCACAGCATATCGCTCCTTGAGCTGAGTCAGTGCTGCCATCAGGCGAGTGTTTGCCGCGTCAAGACTCGCTATCCTCTTCTCCTGTGAGACAGACAGGTGGCAGACAGGTAAGTGAATGACAGTCAGACAGGTGAGACTGAATCAAGTGAGCGACAGGTACCTGAGCCTCTATGATCTTCTGTTTGGAGTCGACCACAGCCTGCATGTCAGAGTGATCCTTCTTCAGCTCTTCCTCCACTGCCATCAACCTACACAGGTGACAGGTCAGACAGAACATACACACACAAACAGGTGAACAGGTGTACAGACAGACAGGTGTACAGATGTTCAGACCTGCTGATGATGCTGTTCATCTGGAGGTCTTTGTCATCCTGCAGCCTCCTCAGTCTGCTCTCTGTGTCCTCCAACCGAGCCTGGAACACACATACACTCCTATTGGTCCCGCATTGTCATGTGATCATACACATCAGCAGATCTCCTGCACAGGTGAATCCCAGTCCTCTGTCAGGTACAGACCTGATACTCCTGCAGCATTCGTTGGTTCTGCTGATCCTGGACCATGAGACGAGCTTCACACTCCTCCTGACGCAATGCTGCAACTCGCAGCTTCTCCTGTAGCAATGCAATCTCCTGCTGGTACTGGACACACATAGAGTCAGAACCAGCAGAACCAGCACAGAACCAGTAACATCCCAGTATAATGAGTCTCTTACCTTGTCGATGAGAGTGTCATCGTGGCGGTCTTCTTCCGTCTCACCGTAGGAGGAGGCGGAGTTCATGTTGAGCAGCCAGGCGGCGGTCCGGTCCAAGGCACAGGGGGAGGGCGCCTAGACACACACAGGTACCCTGATGTGTTACCACAGCAACCACCTGAATCGTTGTTTGTTTGTTTGCACAGTGTCACAAGAACGCAAAACACAAAAACATCTTCCTTGTCAGTGTGTTCCTGGCTGCCTGTACATGATCCTGTCCCATGTCTGTAGGCCTCCTCTTTGGCACGGTGAAGCTACTTGACTTTTACTGTGAACCAGGGCTTGTTGTTGTTGTTGTAGTATGTGCAGAAGGTCTCACATCCTCACAAAGCTGATGTACGACATCACAGTGTCAGCGAGAAATGGGATAATCACAATAATCACCTGTATTTGGCCAAGTATGTTATACGCAGGGGGGGGATGTTCAGTGTCTTGCCCAAGGACACTTCGACGTGTGGACTGCAGGCACCATGATTCGAATATCCGACAGTCCGGTTGGGAAACGACTACTGTACCCATTGAACCACAGTCAGAAAAATCAATAAAAACAAAAGACATGCATAAAAATGTTGCTGCTTTTCCCCAGATGAACCTACATGAAAAACAATTTTTGTCTAGCACATTTCTGTTGTCGATCAGCCAGACAGACAGCTGTTCTGATCACAGAGACACTGATCGTTCTACTCCTGTTTGCTTTTGTAGTGGTCAAAAACAAACAAGGTGCCAGTCCAGAGGTGATATGTAATAGTAAATATGTAGTTTACATATTATGACATGATATTATTTGCAGTAGGCATGTAAGGGTGAGTAAGTGTTTATATAATCCTATAACATCTGTTTCTCTTCTCTGAACTGTTTGGAGATGTTTGTGACCATGGGAACTGATGGCTTGCTCAAGCAAGAATATCTTGGCTTGTGTCCTTGTTTAATTTATGGGTAAGCATCCAGAGAGAAGCCTTCTTTAAATGGGAAATGGACATAACTTCAGCCTTGTGTGAATTGTTTGTGTGCTTTTAAGTTCATATTTAGAAAAGGAAATGGGCGCTGGGTCAGTGCGACCTTGAAGTTCATGTACGGGACATCTCAGACAATTCTTGGAAGAAGGGGTGTAGAGCTGGCGTGAAGCTGTGGCTCTGGCTTAAGCAACAGGAGGGGAGTGGACAGGATATGTAACTGGGAGAAGATAAAAGTTAGAATGGCTGTGGGTTAAAGAGAATGATGGTGCTGCAGTCGTGAGTGTGCCTTTCGACCCGGCCAGGTGGAGAGGGGACCGACCCGACTCTACCTTGTGGCCACGATGACTGACTGACTCTTTGACAATTCTCATATCTAATACTATTGTTTATTCTTTATGCAGCAGTGGTGATTCTATCCCCTATTGTTCAGATTGCTGAATTGTCTTACAATTTATTGAACTGTTCAGTATTATTGTAATATTAAATAATTATTTGAATTGGGATAATTTGCCTGAATTAATTTAGGTCATATCAGATCCTAACAACCACACTTTCATTGTGGATTCCCAGTAACAGCCAGATCCCACCTGAATGGCCAGTCGGTTGGAGGTCGCTGCTAAGTGAAGAAAGTTACCGACACTGTCATCACGTTAGGCATCCCATGGTCAGCGACTAGTCAACCTCATGTTTATGTCGACCCTGCCTAGTGAAGTCTAGTAGTTGACCAATCTGTGTAACCCCTAGAAACAATATCAGGACCAGCAGTGAGGAGGGCACACTGACTAGTTACCATGGTAACAACCTGGTTACCTTGGCAGCAGGTCGCTGTTTCTCAGGGCTGTCTCCTTTAGATGATGATGATGTCTGTCTGAGCCGCGACTGGTTGCTGCTTGGCCAATCAGGGCTTGATGACATCATGCTGCCAGAGGCAGGGCGAGGGGGGTAGGCAGTGCCCCCACCACCACCACCGAGTATGCTGGGAGGTGTCCGGCCACGCGGAGGACCCGGGGGAGCTGAGTTTGGGGGAGGAGGCTGATCAATGCGTCGTTGAGGACCTGAGGAGTTCTGACGAGGGAGGGCAGAGCTACCTGAGGGTGAGGAGCAACAACAATGACATCATCATTCAGTCAGTTGACTGATTATACCTTTGCAATCCAGCCAATCATCTTCTGTGACTAGTTACAGTATAAAGGCATAAACCATATTAGTCCCAGTTTCTTCATCCAGACTCTCTAATAAGTGTCCTGGTGGTAATTTAGGATCTTACTGCTTCCTTAATTAGATTTTCAGGCCTTACTGAATTATACCAGTTCTGCTGGCATAGTTTAGTGCTGGTTGTTTAGCCTCTACTGCTGTTCCTGATTTTCTCCAATGCTGCTTTGCCCTGTTTTTAGGTGCCTTTGATTTGCTTATTTGTGCTGTGTAAAATGTAACGTTCTGATGACGCTACTTTTATAATCCTTGTGTGTATTGGTCCTAATGCTTTGTTGCCTTTATGTAACTTTTTATTTTAAGACTAAGTGTTCTTTGTCAAGCCCTGATTGGCCAAGCAGCAGCCAGCGCGGAGTGGCAGCAAGTTACAGCAGCTGTGTCCTCGTTGTGTTCTTTTCCGTGTTTCTATGAAGTTCTGTTCTTATGGTGTTATGTTGGTTGTTCTCCATTGCTGCTGTAACACAGAAATTTCCCCACTGTGGGATCAATAAAGTACCTACCTACCTAGCTAGTTAGCTTAGCTAACTTTAGCATTAAGCAGGCATATTTGGGAGATGTATCCTTTCGTGTTCTAAGTGAGCTAATATGATCCTTCCATGGGTAATTTGGTTTTATGCGTTTTCCAGTCTTTTGGGGGGATTTATTGGTGGTGACTGCTGCTGAAGTTTAAGACAAATGACTTTTTATGTTTATGACTGAAATTTGATACAAATACATGAAAATGTACTTGTCTAATTACTATACCAATGTTACTTTGATGAAATAGAGCAGTAAGAATACTAAAGTTACCCTTGAACTAAACCTGCTGTCTGAGAGTCCCCTGGCCTGATGGCTCTGAGGGCGATTAGCTTAGTTTTGAGAATTACAGCTGAGTCAACAACAGGGCAACACACTTAACTGTTTACTGGGACATTGTGTTTAGTGTTTCAGTGATGTGGAAATGGGAGCCGTCACCAGCCTCTTGAAATTCTTTATCGAGGTTGGTGTGTTGGTGCTTCAGGTGATTTGCTGAATTAGCTGTATTAGCACCTATCACCCTGATTTACCTGCATTGTTTCCAGGTATAGTCTACCTAAGTGTTCTGGAACTGTTTCCCTTGTTTAGCTACTGTTGAACTAATGAACAATTCAGAGAGCACTGCTGTTTTCTTTGTCAACCAAGTGTGGCGGTTCTGCACTTGTCCTGACTGTGGTATAACCACAATTTATAGTCTGTCTATGAAATGTGCCTGTCTTTTCTTACTTGTGAGAGTCTCGGTGAGGGACAGAGCTCGTCTGGAGTATTCCTCTCCACTGCTGCTGCTCGACATGGCCGACATCCTCTCCCCCCTCTCTCCCCCTCCCAGCCCCACAGGTATCTGGGTAAGAAATGCTGGTTTGGTTGCCACAGCGCTCCTGTCGTCATTTCCCTGCGAACCCACTGAGCAGTCTGAGGGCGTGGCGTCTGCCTGCTGTAGTTGCCGTGGAGATGTGGTGGTCATGTGATACACCGGGTTCTGGAAGGAGAGGGGAAGAAGCCCAGTTTTGCGCTGCCAAAGACCGTCATCGAGGCCATCACTAGGGGAGCAGTCCTGCAAGTCGACAAGAGACAGACTGCGGCTCTCACTGGTCAGCTCCGGCCCCTCCCTTCGGCCCCCATTGGTCGTTTCACATCCTGCTTCATTCTCATTTGGCTCTGAGTAGGAGGAGCTTGGAGCAGGAGAGCCCTGCAGGCCTACAAGAAGTGGCATCAGCAGCAGAAGTGTCAGAGGTCATAGTGAACTCAGGAGACAAAGATGATGTCTGGATCAAAGTTAAAGGTCAAAGGTCACCTGATGCTGGCTGTAGACTGGATCCTTTGGTGACAAAGAACAAATCTTTGTTTTCAGGAGTCGGAGAGGGAAGTCTGGTGAAATCTACCAAACTAAACACACACAAAGTCAGAAACAACACAGATCCAGTAGATTCAGTACAATCTATCATGTTTATAATGGTTAATTTGATTTGTAATAATAGAATTACAAATGACTTACTAACTTACTAAATCAATTACTTATTGATTGTTCACAAATTCATGCATATAATCTGTTTATAAGGAGTATACAGGTTTAAAAGGAGTAACAACTTAATGATAATTACCAACCTATCACCCTCAGCTGCACCAGAAACCACCCAGGACAACTGGACACTTTTAGTGTCAATCCACAAAAACAATCATCACAGGGCACTTTACATAGTAAGGTCTAAAGCTTGCATTATTATAGTGACTCATGGCGCCCACTGAGGCAAACGTGTTTGCGTTTCCACTCTTGAATGCCGGCTTTTTCTTCGTCTTCTTCTATTTTGTGTGTTTTTTGCTTTTTCTGCAGTGCACAAATGTCATGCACTGCTTACATACAACAGACAAGCATTGCAGGATATCGCCAACTCACAAAGCCACTGGGAATTTACTGGTTTCATACCACCGGAGCTACAACCCATCGTCCACTCCGGTGACAATAACAAGAATGGTGAGGAAAGCCACCATCGCCCCCGGAGCACCAGGCACAAGTGAGCAGGCTGAAATCAGGAGAGCGACCTGGAGACGGAGACGCAAACAGGGCAGGCGAGGAGGACTCCATGCTAGGCTAAAAGCTCGTGCT